AAGGTGGCTGTAGCATGGCATACTACGCAAGGTGGAAAGGCTGGACGAGCTGTCCGCGCGCGTGTCCAAAGCTCTCAAACTGGCTGAAAGCAGCCTTGGCCTAAGTTTCGCCACCGTTGCTTCCCAAGGCCCTGAACCGTAACAAGTTCGATAAGTGTTCCCACACATCGTCATCCTGGTAGTAGTCGGCCTCAATGGTCGTGATAGTAGCTAGGGTAATGCAAAATGTTGATCAGTCAAGCCCAGTGAAATCCCACCTAGATGCTTTCTTCTCAAAATCGAAGCCCGTGCCAGTGGCATTTGTACGAGGATTACAAGACATTTTTGCAGGGATAGCTTTGAGAAACTTCCGTGCCCTTTTTTTACTTTATTGAGAAGCCAAGCCAGGCGGAAGCAGCGGTCAGTCTTTGCGCTTTGATTTGGTCGTGGAGCAGGATTGGTGATTCGAGTTGCGCGTCGCATGGTAGAATCATGTACAAGATGCAAAAGTATTTCTGCATATGTCTGATACTGGGGCATTTCCCGCTTGGAGGAGCGAATCACCAAGCTTTCGCAAGACCTGCAGCAGATGTCCAGGTTGCTTGGTTGAGCCATCCTCCATAATTCTTAAGCAGACTCGTGTGATATGGGGGATTTCCGGTTGTTCAAGTTCCCCTTTTTGGGATTTGATTTTTTACGGGTCTTTATTGGGGTTCCCTATTCTTGGCAGTTGCCTGATTGAAGAATCCCACCTGCCTTTGGCAGGCGCATCGAGGCAGCAGAGCTGGAGCCCTGGGATCGAAGACATTCTGAAATTGGAGTCCTTTTTGGGGTTCCTACTATAATACGGATTATATAGTATTTTGGGGTCTATATCGGGATCCCCCCATTTTGGAATATTGGTTTCTTGTGTTAGGATTGCCAGGTCTGCGTCTGAGGATGCGAGGAGGAGGCTGCAGGACCTTGGGGCAAAGTGCAGCCAAAAGTAGGGCTCCCCATCATAAGGGGTTGGGCCATGTCAAAGAGAGGACATTCCATCAGCACAGCCTGACCAACTTCTTGGTCTCATGCTCAGACTGCCTGACTGCAAGCTCATCAATACTGTAATCATTTCCGGTCTACAGCGAGTGCTTTGGCTCTTGATGGTTGGTCTCGCCACTGGTTTGCTTCAAATCACAAGCTGTTCCTCGTGGCCGCTCGCCTCCTCCAGCCCCAAGGCGAGCTGCCGGCAAAGTTGCAGGCGCTGACGGAGCGATTCGAGGCGAGAGATCGTGCCATCCTAGGGTGCTTTGTGAGAGCGCTAGCCGCTGTGTCTTTGCTTTGGGCCCTGCCACGGAAATTTCACAGGAGATGGACAGCCAAACCTCAGAAGCTTTTCAGAAAATGTCAGCAAGCATCGACAAGGCTGGACCTCGCAACTGAGAGACGACCTCTTTGTAGATTCGATATGTTCAATGCCCTTCTCTGTTCTGTGGTTGCAGATTGCTAGTCTTTGTCGTGTACGTAATGCCTCTTACACGTACTGCGGGCGTTAGTTGGACCTAGGCTGCTGCCTTCAGCCTTGCTTGATTGCTGGTTACAAGTACCCTTTCCGCACCATCGTTCTACTATTGGGGTTTCCTTGTGCATCATTCATGTTGCCAGATTGCCAGTCTCCGCACCACTGCCAGTTTCACTTTCCGTGTCCATTTTTTGCATTTTGGTTTGCATTCATCCTGTTCTTTGCATTCTGCAAGCTTCACTTTGTCTGTGCTGTGAGGTTTGTTTTAGGTTTCTTGTCACACTCAATCTTTAGGCGAGCTATACGACTGCGCCATGAGGGATTTTCAGCCAGGGCGCTCGACCTGAAGCCACCGAAGCAAGAAGTTTCAAAATGCCAAGACAATGCTCCCTATAGGGCCTGTCGCCAAGAACTGCTTGGGGGGGAGTGTTGTGGGATATTGAAAGAGTCGAAAGCAGGCCAAGAATCTCCAGGATGGACTAGAAGGCTCCCACAGCGACCTAGCGAATTTGGTGCAAGGGATGACTTGTCACGAGGCCCACACCTGGGGGGAGCTGGGTCTAGGTCCCTTCTTGGGGGCTCCTTAAAGAGCCGTTTTGTTGGGTGGTTCATCTGGGGCCACGCGCTGTTGAGAAGAATTCGCTGTTCAGAACCGTTCGCATGACTGCGGGCTCAGACGCTTAACATACACCTTTTGCAACTGCTTTGACTTCTTTCTTCTTGTGCTGCCTGCTACTGCAAGCACGTTGACGACCACCAGGACGACGATGACTGCTGATGCTGCTGCGATGATTGCCAGTGCAACTATAGAAGTGCAATTATGTTGCTGTGTCATTGTTCTGTCTGAGTGGTGGGATTCCTTTCACCATGCCATGATCTCTTTCATGCTACCGTGCGGTTGTGTCGCATTGCCTCCGGGAAGTTTTGTCAGAGCGCTAGTCCTGAGTTTCCATGTTCTCTATAGATCTTTGCTGAACCCAAGGATCAGAAAACTGTCCCCCTGAATCCCTTCCTACTGTACTTATATTCACCTCCCACGCTCGAGGCGGCTTCGACAAGGGCATCCGCCGGCCCGCCAGAGGAGGAGCTCACTGGGCTCATCTCAGCGAAGGCCCAAAAAGAGCGGGTCGTCGGATTTCTCAAGCTAATCCTTGACATAAGTCCTTGATCTCCATGGGTAACTCTCGCTACCTGGGTTGCGGGTGTAGATGTTTGCAGAGTGTGGAGTGTTAGCGACAGTTAAGGACTTGGGTGTGGGGCACGTATGGACGATGAACAAAATCAGTTTAAACGGTGACGTGCATGCATCCAATGAGAACTCCCAAAAGTTCCGTGTTTTTTCAGGGGCCGCCTTTCAGACCAGGCCCATGTGTTCAGGATGTTCCTGCTGCCAAAATGTTGTTGCACATGCCAGTTGTCATTCCTATCATCAAGACGATGGTTTGCGTGCTGGTGATATTAATGTGTGTAAAGTCATAATGTTGACACATGCTACCCTAAATAGTAGTTTCCTTTTCTTTTCCATTATCCCAATATAACCCTAATTTTACCCCGTAGTAGTTTCCATTTTCTTTTTCATTATCCCCATATACCCCTAATATTACCCCAATATAAACCCCAAGTGACCCCCGAGCTGGCGAGGTGCAAGACATGATGTCGGAGCTTCCTCTGAAGACAGAGCAGTCCGTTGAGGTGCTCAGCTCATTTTTGCATCATACTCATGAGACGGTGTGATTGCAGTCCTGAACTCAATTCCTGCTGCTACTGCCAAAACGTGATTAAATGTTTTGGATGTACTTGCAGAGTTTCCTTGAAGAGCCATAGAAATGGTTTCTTCAGTGCCAAATTAAGGTCCTAATGCACCCCCCCAGAGGCCTTAGGAACCTGAAGATCCTGAAGGTAGGAATTCCCACAAGATCCCCTTTTGCATCATGTTGAAGACTGCTCATGTGGGAGGACTTGCAAGCGAAGCTCCTTTCGAAGGCCGACCTTTGTTAAAGTGTTCAGACAGTTGTCGGAAACACTGTTGCAACACTGGGCTGTAGTCTATAGTCCTTTATAGTTGTCATCCTATGGGGCATTCCGGCAGGGTTTCGCTATGGTTCTAGATTACCAAAGACAAGTTGGCAGAAGCTAACAGGCTTGTACGGGGTAAAGGCGTAAAGAGGAAATGGAAAGAAGTAGGAGCGCGGCCCCCCCTTATAGCACCCAAACGTTGCAATGCTCATGGTGGTGACCCCAAACAGTTTGTTAATTACACAAAGCCAACTATTGAAGCATGGCTCGTGCGTTGTTTGCGGAAGGTGTGCGATGCAGCAGATTCCAGCATCCAGGAGAAACTGTCAGGGATGATGGGCTCTGGTGAGGCCTGAGCATGCCTGGTTGAGTGATTTTGATGATTGCTGTTGATTGTTCAGTGCCGCAATGGCTTTGGATTGTCGTTGCTAGTCTGCTGCATGCTTCGAAACTTTGCGTCCCTCGCTTTTTCGGAGACGTTGCTTTGGCTTCACGTAACCTGCCAGGCCAGCGCGGATGTGCTCAAGGCTCTGAAAAAGGACGGGCTCTGAGCAGGAAAACCGAAATATGCCCAAATAGTTTTCTTACTTCCTATGATGAGCACCCAGTTCATGTTTCTGGTAATGGCCGAGATTGTTTTGCTTGCTGGGGTTCCGCGAGCAATTGCATGGAAAGCCGAATTGCAAGTTCGTCACCAAAATGTGCTTAGTGTTTGGTGCCATCAATCCGAATTCAGGAGCTTGATGAGCAGAAGGCATGCTGCCCTTGCAACTGCTTTCGCCGCTACTGCTGCTTTTGTCGGCTGTGCTCATGCTAGCACCAGCAGGATAAGCCGCAGTACGGTTGCAGCCGTTACAGTACTTCCTTGCTCGGCTTGATAGGTATACCAACGTTCCTTATGAGTAGGGCACAGCAGGGCATGTTCTGCAAAGACCGAGCTATCCGATACTACACCCCACAGTCTAATTCATCGCTGCTGACAGGCACAACTGGCTGACAAGGCCGAGCTTCCCATCGGTCACTGTTATCTCATTACCCGGACTTGCTTGTCATATGTTTCAATATGATCCTGATGTTAATGTCATCCAGGTTCAGTCTTTCTGCCCAGACGCACTTTGTTTAACGCACGTGTATATGCTTGCATAGAAAACAGTGCGCACGTATATACTATGCACATCTATGCACAAGGTCACCCAGGCAGAGCTCTCGGGAAGCTCCGAGGACCTGAGCCGCAAGGCTCATCCGGCCGGGCAACAATTTTCATGATTGCTTGATTTTTTTGGGGTTCATGGTATGGGGTTTAGAGATTAAGGTTCAGGTTGCTGTTGAGGAACTCGAATTCAAGGTAGAATCAAATGGAAAAGATGAAATTGACACTTGGGTTAGATAGTGAGTAACTTTTACGCTTTCCGTATGATGGTAAGTTCTCAGCAGCAATCCATTGAAGGTTCAGTTTTCTCATGCCAAATGGCTTTCAGGTAGGTGGTACAATTGGCATCGCCAGGTGAAGGCATCTGAGACGACGGTTTCGGCCAACATGGAAACCCTCGAAACCAAGCTGATGGATGCTCTCCGAAAGTCGGAGGCGTCAGAGGCGCGCCATATGGAAAGGGATATAGTCAGCATTTATGCCACAGCGCTTTAAGTTCCAAAGACTTGGGATGCATTGTAGTTACCTGTAACACACCTCGTGACAACCCCGAGTCTTGATTGTGATTGTGTTCGCCAAATAAAAAAACGTGCCAGGCTCAAATGTTTGAGTAGCTCAATCACTGCTTGTCAGGACGCCATCCGCGAGGTTCGCAGCATGGTGGAGGATGTTCTTCAGCGTGTGGAGGCACGCACGACATGCTGTGGAAGGCATCTCACGTTACCTGCCTTGATAAGGCCACAGAGGCTGCATCAAAGGCTGTGCGCGAGGAGCTCATGAGCGAGGACGTGGCACATGCTCTGGATTTTTTTTGGAGGAATAAAGGGAGCTTTTGGCCGGGCTTAGACGTGTGCAGACATGCAGCAGCAGGATGCTCACAGCGAAGCTTGGGCGCTTGCGAGGCACTGTCGCTAGCAGCATGCGAGACTCGAAAAGCTTCATGTCGTGACCGGTTTGCACACGACAGGACCTGTCAGGATGACCTTCGAGGAGTTCACTCGGATGTTGCAGATCTTCAGGCACCAAGCTGTTAGAAGCTGCCGGACGGGCACCTAAACGCTCCTCGAGGCCTCTTTGCGCAGCGTGGTCCGGCGAGTGGAGGCACGTCACCCGTAATTGCACTTGGCTCTCAGGGATGGCAATGAAAAGCAGGACGCCGCGCAAGAAGGGCCTGGCAACAACAAAAGACTGGTGCGCAAAGATGCATTGGCTTCATCATCCTGACAGTCAAGCTACAATCTGAGTCGGAAAGCGTAGTTTTGGGCTGTTGCAGAGGTCTCTGACAGTGCTCGTCGCTTGGAGCTGCGAGTCGACGAGCTCCAAAAGCAGGCTTGAATGCTTTGTCAGATTTGTCCGTGCATGGCCCACGGCTTTCCTTTGAAGAGGTGGTAGAGGAGCTAGAGCAGCTGGCTGAGCAGCAGCAGCTCATAGCCCGCGTGCCGCCCCCCGATTTGAGTGATGGACACTTAATCAAGCAGTGCTGGAACAAGTGTAGGGTAGTGGTAGTGAGTCCCCGGCGAGTTCTGGCCTTGCTTATGGTGATTGCTTAGCCAGGTGAAGCCAAGCTCCGGAGCCAAGCCAGACGTCCAGGACGGCCCCAAAATGCTTGCGGGTGGGGTGGCTCGGTGGCTCTGCCTCTGCAGGACCTGGAGCACAGCGTTGAGCGTCTGGCGGCCCAGGCAGGGGAGTCATCAAGAAAGGGGAATAACCCACCTGTGGAGCGTTGCAGGTGGCCCAGGAGCTGCAAGAGCTGAAGACGCATCAAGGAGAGCTCGGCAAGGCGGCTTTCATCATCCGATGCTCGTTTGTTTTTCTGTCAGCTGCAAGGTGCGCGTGCGCCTTCAAAGTGCTGATGCTAGCAAGGTGAGCTGGCTTACTTGCACCTTGCTGGAATCTCGAAGCTGGGACATGTGTTCTTGGTCAGGGCGGCGCTCCAGAGGCTCCTTGCTCCGCAATGTGACTGTGGTTCAAAGAATCCTTGCCCACCAGGTTGAGTCAAAGGTCTTAGAGCTCCAGCAGAAGGCAGGGAGATGGACCGGGCTTCCAAGTTGACCTGCCAACAGTCCGTCAAGGTGCTGGAAGAGTTGCATGCCTTGGGAAAGCAGCAAGAAGAGCTGGGCAGGGCAAAGGCCGCGAGGGAAAAGACTCATGGGACTGTGTGGGGTATCGTGGAAGTAAACCTGCTAAGCTGGGAGAATCAGAGGGTGTCAACAGTAAATGTTGCGCAAAAGTAGCAGGGTATTGGTCTCTACGAGCATGTGTCAGGTTACTATGGCTGACCTCTCCGATCGTGTACAGCAAGTGGCCTCAACGGTCACGCAATGCAAAGAGGCCCTTCGCAGCCTGTACTTTGTCAATGTAGCTGCTTAGCGCTCTACCCCGGGAAGGTTACAGTCGGATTGGAAGAGCGGCTAAAGAAGCTGTCTTCCATGGAGGACATCGGAACCCAACTTGAAAATGGGGTGCCTGTCAAAAAAGAGATGCTGTTATCAGGAGACAACGTGTCCAGAGAGGTGGCCTCAGAGTGCAAATGGCTGCCATCAGCCACGCATGAGGTGTGCCATGCAGAATGACAGGGCAAGTGGAAGTGGCTTTGCCCAGGTGGGTAGTTTACTTTCAACAAAACCTTGCTGCTTAGGTGTGGTAATATCTACCTGGCGGACGCGAAGTTCTGCCGCGGGTGTGGGCACAGAAGGGGCAATGTAGCTGGGGAGGCCGCTACTGATTAGATTGGTACCAGACGTTGCATCAACTGCCTGTCAGGCCGCAAAGACACACGGCACTGACGGCACTGTGCAAAAAGCGCCAGCCCACAGCCCAGAATTTCTGAGAAAGCCGCGGTCCAGCATGGCGCAGCTTCTAAGGCCGAGAGTGGACAGAGTGATGTGGAGGACAGCTACGGGGCCGATGACTTCGAGGAGTCAGCCGTACCTCAGGTATCACTTGGCTTGCCTCATCACATGGACTTGCTTGGTCTCTTGAGGTTGATGAAGCCAGCATGTCTGAAGATAAAGCTGGTGGGGACAAATAGGCAGGAGGGGTGAATCACACCCCAAGCTGCAGCCAATAGCTTTGCGTCAGAAGCTGGGACCAGAACAGCTTGCACGCTAAAATAAGAATCAAGTGCATCAACATCTGTGTTCAAACAAAGAATCGCCTATGGGTAGGGATACGCCGAGTATAGGGATGTCTAGGGAGTCTAGGAGTAACTAGGGATGAGGAATACATCGAGATACATTTGAGATGAGGCATGGGCGAAAATCGTTGCTAGCCTCCAAATGGGCCGTAATATGTTTGACCATCTCCAGTTGTGATGGGTGACAGGTGACCGTATCATGAGTTTAGCTGTGAGACTCTGGCAAGCCAGGAAAGCCTCTTAAGCTTCCATTCACTGCATTTTTGTGACCCGACGGAGAACTCATTCAACCAAGTCACTGAACAGTTCTGCTTTGATATGGTTGCAAGCCGAGCTCAGTGCAAATTGAAATCCCACCCCGTTGTATCCTGAAACCCAAAGAGATCTAGTCCGAACCTGCAAGAAGCCAGGAATCCAAAGCCATAACGGGTAATAATATAGAAGGGCCACAACAGCGCACCCTTGCATTGACAAATTCAATGCAGCCCTCCAAGGTCAAGACTCAGCAATCAGCTTTCCTTCTCTTCAGGTCAGCAGCACTTGACGTGTTTCTTTAATTTCCCACAGGTCTCTTTGAGTTTTTTTTGTTTTTGTTTCTTTTTTGTTGGTGGCGGTTTCCATTCGTAACCACTGATACTGCTCAAGCCGAGAACATCTTGAGACAGAGTCTTGCAAGCTCTGTATGCATGGGCCAATGGGTGTGAACAGCAAGGTTGCATTTAACAGTTCATGTTGTTGAGACATTTTAGCGAGCATCTGCGCTGCTGCCAGCTTCTCCATCAGACCAAGCTTCACATGCTGTCTGACAATGTTGCGTTTGATGCGGGTTGCGTTGTATGCCATGATGGTGATGAGTGTCATCTCCACTCAGGACGGGAGTGCGGGCTTCACAGCAGATATCAACATGAATAGTTTGGATGAGTTGGATAGCTGGTGTTTGGTTTGGGCGCGTATCTCTGCGCTTGTCCACCGCCTGAGTCCTAGTGCAGCAAGCAAGGAGCAGGCAGGTGCTCTCCGGCGGCCCCCTGGAAGGGCCTTTAGCAGGCCGCTAATGAAGATTTGTTACATGATAATTAAAGGGGAGCTTTTGCTGGCTGATAAAATGTCGCCAGCTGGCAGATTGAACGTTTCAACGCGAACGACCCATGTCCTTGAAAAGGCATGTTGAACAACCACTGAATGGATCTTCAACCACCTACTAGGCTTAAGCACTCAAAAATAGTAAACGTACAGTAAGACTGATTAAGACCTGCAGCAGACATGTCCAGAATTGTCCAAAGCTGTGATACTCCTTGAGCTGTGGAAGGAAGCCATACTCCGCGGCATTTTTCTAAAGCTCGGGCTCCCTGCCGGCCAAGCCAAACAGGTGGCGAAGACTCCGTGCGCGTTTTCATACATCAGATGCCGTGGGAAGGACCTACATGAGCTATGGTCTAAATTCCCTAAACAAGGTTATAACAAGGTAAATACAGGGGAGTATTATAGGGCTGAGGAAGAGAGATGCTAGGAGTTTAGACTAGCTCGCATCTTGATTCTTTGATGGGATGAAAGGATAGGGCTTCAGGGGTGAGGGCATGTGCACAACACGAGGATCAGATCACAGAGGTTCGTTTCAAAGCCCACGGCCTTCACGGTCAAATTCCACCAGAGCTTTGCAACCTGCGACGCCTGCAGGTTCTGCTACTTTCCCAGAATGGGCTTTCTGGCAGAATCCCGCGTGAGCTCAGCCAACTGCAGGAGCTCAAGACTCTGAGGCTTAGCTACAATAATCTGTCTGGTGATATCCCGCCACAGCTAGGCAAGCTTCAAAGTCTGGAAAGGATCAATTTGATTCACAACCGATTGGGGGGTAGAATACCTCGAGAGCTGGGCCAACTTAAGCGCCTAACGTCTTTGACGCTTGCTGCAAACCTGTTGACAGGAGAAATTCCTCCAGAGATCGGCGGACTTGAGAGTCTGAAGGAGCTCAGCCTGTCCGACAACCAGCTCTCCGGTGAAATCCCCCAAGAGCTCGGCGCACTTCAGAATTTGCAGATTCTTGGCCTTTCCGAGAACAATCTCTCCGGCAAGATCCCGCCCGAGCTAGGCCAGCTCGTGAGCCTGACAAGCTTACAGATAGACAATAGCCAGCTGTCTGGTGAGCTTGCTCCAGAGCTGGGGCAGCTCCAGAATCTCAGATACTTGATCCTTTCCCAGAACTCACTGAAAGGTGCGGGCTGCTAAAAAGAGTTTAGACATGCTCATGCTGATGACCTGCCATTTGCAGAGGGGAGTGAGACCCTGTGCTTATCCAGGTCAGATTCCAAAAGAGCTGGGGAAGCTTCAGAAGCTACGCGTGCTCGACCTCTCCCAGAATTTGCTGAAGGGCTCCATACCACGAGAGATTGCACAGCTCTGACAGCTACGGAGCCTTGTCCTCTTCCAGAATCAGTTCAGCGAAATTCCTAAAGAGATTTTCCAGATGCAGGAACTGCAGAGGTTGATGCTGCATGAAAACCGCCTGCAACAGTTTCCGTCAACAATAAACATGTCGCGCCTAGAAGTTTTGGATGCTGGCGAGAACTTCTTCCGTGGCGAGTTGAAGGTTCAGCTCTCTGTCCAGAATCTGGTGACCCTAGACTTAAGCCACAATATTTTCCGTGGAGGCATTTCAAGCATTGTGGACTTCTTCTGTGCCTTGCAGCCCAGTGGTGGAAGGCTGAAAGAATTGCGGCTAAATCATAATCGACTGAATGGAGAATTGCCTTCTTGCCTGCTGCAGTTGGTGCGCTTGAAGTTTCTTGCCCTGAACGACAACAACTTCCAGGGGCGGCTGCCCGACATCGGGGCAACACAGCTCTCGGTGTTGTCCTTGCACAGAAACGCCCTGACAGGCGTGATTCCGGCCGGCTTGCACAGCCTGAAGAGCCTTGGCGTCCTGACACTTCACCGTAACTCATTTGGCGGGAAGATTGGCAACCTTAGTTTGCATACCGCCTGCTTGGACAACTCCAAGTTCAGGCTGCATGGAGTCATAGATTGCGAGCAAGCTCAGGAAGTCAGGGACTTTTTTGGGGGAACGGAGCTGCAACAGATGAAAGCAAACTGTCCAGAGGCACTCAGATCCTGTCCCACAGACGGTTCAGTGAAGCTTACCTTACACCACAACCGCTTCTCGTGTACTATCCGAGTCGCAACACTGTTCTGAGCTTGGCTCTTATGGGTAACATGCTGGGAGATGGACATTCACTGACTTCGTCATGGATCTCAGATGAGGAAAAGCAACCTTTCCTGTACTACGCGCCAAATGTATTCAAGTCCAACCTGCAAATTCTGGTCGGGTTGCTTGCGCTGACCCTGCGTTAGCAATGTTTTCTAGAGTTGGCTTGCTTGAGTCAAGCATGCTTCGACCTGCCAGCATCGCCCCTCTAACACGAATCCTTTGAATGCTTGCCCTTTTCAAGGGTGCTTTGATATCTTGAGGTACTCGGCTTGGCTGCAGTCTTGTTTGGCCGTCGGCTTTGCGGACGAATTCGGCTGGCGTCAAACGGGACGGACTCGAACGCCAGGGCTCGAGTGGCGTCGGCCCACTTTGTTTTGCTGCGTGTCTGCAAGCAGTGCCGTGAAGGCATGTTTTTGTGCATGGTTTCACAAAGACGCAACTCTAAATGAGCATCCTCGCCGGTCCTCTTTGATGGAGGTTGCATCGAATTTCGATAGGCTCACCTTGCATCTGGTAGAGACCTTGTTTACGCCTTGTGGAGGTCCTGCTTAGAGCTCATGTGTCATGTATGCAAAAACAAACCCCAAGCAACGCATGAGGATACAAAGTGCACTCAGCACCCTGGTGTTGGCGAGCCCACTTCTGCTTATCTTCAGCTTGGGTGGCTACTACGATTGTTGCCCGCTTCTGTGGCAAACCACCATTGCAGGCTTCGAGGCTCAGAGCTCATGGTCTGGATTGGGTGTCATTCTGTGCTGGTGCGCCCTGCAGCTGCTCTTTCGATGTCTGCTTGCAGACATCCCAAAAGTGAAGCGGAGTCGTCGGCCAGCAACAGCTAGTACAAGCAGCAGCAGCAGCAGCAGCAGCAGCAGCAGCAGCAGTCTCATGAGGATTGGCGCATGGTTTCTCTGGATATGCATAGTGAGCACACTGTCCTTGCCATCCATCATATTTGCGTTCGCCGAGTCTCTTCCTGCCCAAAATTCCTGGGACTTCGACGACAAGACATTGAGGTGGTTCCACATGACTGCACCCCTGCAAACTGTGATCATCGATATGGTGCTCTCTCCCCCCCCCTCTCCAGGAAGTTCTCACAGGTGACGGGTCTCAAGGCGGACAGATTGCTAATGACCTTCCGATTGTTTTCGGCATGGCTTGTGGCATTGCTAACCACCGTGATCTTGGATGAGAACTGCTATGGGGGTTGGAAGTTGGCTTGGAAAGTTTGCGAGGAAGGCTCAGATGAGAACAGCAAATTTGATTGGAAGATTTTTGATGAAGAGATACTGCGCACCAAAGACATATGTGGCTTCAGCCACACAATGCTTTACGATGATCGTTGTAGCCGAGCTATAGTAGGTCATCTGGCACCGATCATGCTGAAGAAGCTTCTCATCCGTAGCATGATGCAACCGTTGATACGGCTTTTCATGTGGCGGCTATCGCGTCTGGAAGGCGAAGAAGATCCGGTAAAGGGCCGTCACTTGAAACTTTTTGGTGTCTGGCCCAAAACAACGGGATCATTGGCACCCATGCAACAAATGGCACTGCTGACAACACTGATGGCCTCTTGACGACAATTGATGTTGTCGACCTGTGTCTTCCCGGCACTGCAAAGTTGTTTGGTAAAGACACGTTGGTTGCCTTAGCTTGGAACTACATTTGTGGGTTGATGGCTTTAAGCTGCCGTCTC